TGTGTGACATAATTAGGGTTGCTATCCATGAGGAAAAAAAATAATTCTGCACAAGTTACTCTTCAGTATGCCAGAATGGTAATTTCCACACAAATATCAGTTGAAGAATACTACCACTTGATTTCAGCATCCCAGAAAACATTACTCTGTGACTCTTGAGCAAGAGTTATTGATATTTCCCTTCCAGAGCCATTCCAACCCTGAAAGAATCATATTTATGGCTTTATTACCATAAAAATATTAGCAAAATATAAAGTAAGGAAATGTGAAAACGAAAAAGAGGAAAAAATAAATAAATATCTCCTCTGTGGAAAGGGAAAGCACATAAGGAGAATGTATGTGTCAGAAGAACCCGCCTTCACTGCCCGGCATGCTGGACCGAGGCTGTGTTGCCATGGAAGTGAGAAGCTGAATTTCCTTAGCTCTTGTGTACCACACTCAGCACTTCTGGCAACGGGTGACAGGTTCTTTCCTTTGTTCAGAAACTGCTCTGGAAACAGCCTTGCCTCCCTCCCAAGGCACTGAAAGACTGCATTGTGAGGCCACGCTGCAACCAAACCATATGAGCAGGAGATTTTTCATTTCCATTCCTAAAATTAGATTCTTCTGTGTGTGCTAGCACAACAGAAATAGCGACACTTGCTGAAAGGGGCCCACTCAGTGGAGATCCCAGTTCCCTGCCTTTCAAACAGGTCTGCTGAACCCCAGCACACAGGCAGGGCTACAACACCAGGCAGCTTCAGGAAGCTGGCTCTCAAATGTTCCCAAGAGGTGGTTGGTGTCAGGAAGGGTCTCTGAGGCACAGAGCACACACAGTACTTGCCAAGCAGATGTTGATGCCAGGGCATTTGATCAAAGGGAACAGATTTCCCAATAGGACTTTTAACAAATGTACTTAATTGACTTTGCAGTTGCAGCAAACTGCTTGCTTCATGTCTTGAACCATCTTCATGATGCCAAATCCAAAGTCAATATAGAGTAGGTAAGAATGGTTAAAAAACAATGTCTCAGGGTTATAGCTGAAAAGTAACTGCTATCTTTGAAGGGAAGCCCTATTTTTTTATAATAAAGACATCAGATAAATAGTGTATATCATCCATTTAAAGACTTCCTAGTTGAATAGATTTCTTCCTTGCAAATGCAGAATATAAATACTACATCTGGATGAATAAATCGATGATTGCTAAGAAAGGACCATGGAACAAACAGAGAAACCTAAGCAGAGTTTTGAATTTGGGCTAAACAACCATTTAAATTTTCAAGTTTCAAATTTTCAAAGTGCCACTATCTGTTCCCTACTCACCTCCAGCTTACTCTAGACAGATAGGCCTCTGACCATATCTTCTTATTCATGAAATTTCCATGCAGATTTATCTATGAGTGTATAATAAAACTTTATGACTCTGGAGTATCTGGGAAATGTTTCAGGGAGAATACAACCCTGTAAAATGCAGTTTTGTTTTGTTTTCATTTGTAATAGATTTTTTTTTTAAAGAAAAATAGAACATTTCCCTTAAGACAGGAAAGAAAAATGCCTAACAAACCTTTGATGCCTAAAGAGGCCCAATGTTAGTCTTTAAGATCAATATTGGGAAAAAGTGAATTTGACAATAAGATGGAAATAGATTCAGTAGTTTAATTATACTAAACTATCTTAATGCTATGAAATGATCAGAAAGGGTACTGTGCATAGACTAGAAAAAACATGGAGTCAGTCTGCTGCCTTGGCCTGAGACCATCCTTAATTAGCTGTTCATAATGATACCCCTGACCTCTGAGTATGATATGCCTCGACTCAAAAAAGGAGTTATCCTATGTAATATTTAAGGTTCTTCTCAAATCTGAAAATATATTACTATACCCAAAGCTAGTTTGTGTTTATAAGTAAATGTATACACAAAATGGTTGTAATTATTTTTTGTTTTTACCAAAAAAAAATGTTTAAAACTACAAACTTTACCCCACAGTAGGTCTGTAATTAATAAATGCTACTTATGATTTTGTGGGTGACCCTACTTCATTGGATTCAGAAGTTAGAAATACTTCATAGAAAGCAGTTATATCTACTTAAGAGAGTCTTCATTTGGGGTTTATATCAAATTTGCATCATGTGGGACTAGTCTAAACAGTTTTAGCATTACATGTATGAAGAGATTTTATGCAATCCTCTGAAATATTTTTAAATGTGATCTTAAAATGATGTTCACATTAGTTTACATGCTTAAAGAAGAATACCCTAAGTTCAGGAAATCTTCCATTTTTTTCCCAAATAATAATACTGCATTTTCTAAAAATAAAACTTTTCACTTTAGGATACTGTTGAAATGTGGTGTTCACAAATTGAATATGAAGTACAGTACAGCTTAATGAACCTCATAGGACACAATAGTAGTCCCCATGGTGGTGCCTGGAGCTCTGTGCTCCAGGTCTTTGCCCCTGACCAAAAAGAAGTCACAAGCACTATACTCATCTTGTTTATTTTTAAATATATATATATTGCTAGAGTAAAGTTTTGACTTTCTATTCACTATACACAGTTTTACACAATGAGTAAAATAAGCATTAAAAGGTTTCTTCTTCCAGGGCAATGCTTTAAATACTTTAAATAATTAGCCTAACCTCTAAACTATCATCAAAGGACCTGACATAGCCAAAGATATCTGATACACTTGGGATTCTGATTGCCAGTTGCATCCTTATTCCTATTTACCCAAAGACAAATGGACATGTTTTTATAAACTTGGGAATTAAAAGGAATACCTTTAATCAAGGCACAGTGGAAGCTCTTATAATTGAAAATCAAGTGTTCAAATATTGAGGCTAATTTATTCAGGAATGTCAGCATGTCGCATTGAATTGACCTTGCAAATCAGCTAGAATGCAGTCAGAAGTAGTTCCCACAGGGAAATCTCATCAGACCTTATTTGCAATAGTACCAATAACATCCAACAATAAGGTGCATATGCCTTAAAGCTCCCTGGCCCAAGTCAGCCTTCCATAAGGACACCCTTCACACAGTTCTCACTGCTCTAAGATCCATTTGTAGTGTTGCATCCTCGTCTCACCCACGAGCTGTGCTCAAATGTCAGTTTCTACCTATAGAAGTAGTCGAACCTGTGGTTCTCTCATATCTTAGGCGTAGATGAAAACAACAATCTCCAATACAAAATTTTTTTTGAACTGAGAGATTCTTTGTTATTTGCATATGTCCAATAACATAACATTTCAAACAATGGATTTTCTTTGCACTGAAGTACTTTGACAGGTAGCCATTAAAAAATCTGAAACATTGTTTTCTCATTGTTAACATCTCTGAAAACAGCAAGAATCTGACATGGTTTAATGAATATCTTTTTCTTTTTGTAATAATACATAATGATGGTGTATCCCACATCAACAAAGTTTCAGGTTCAATAAAACAATCTTTCCTAGCCATTTCTCAGAGGGAGGAAAAACAAACCTAAAAGTAACCTTCCTTAGCAAAATGCACAAAAAAGCGCATAATTGAAAACTACCCTGAGAAGTTAATCTCTCCTAGTCTTAACTATGCAAGTACTATATATTTAAATACATACACACTAAGTAGAGCTGAGGACTCTTCCGATTTTCTTTCAAGAATTCTAATACTCGCTTTTTTAAAAAAAAATCAATCTTCTAATATTTTTTCATTTGTTGTGCTTGTTTTTTTAATAAGATGGCTTTCAGGCTACCACTTCAGTGTTATGTGATACTCAATTCCCACTCAAAGAGAAATATTACCTGTCTTTTTTTCTACTCTTGTCTTTTACATTCTCAGTTGTCCAAGAGATGGTGTGACCATTTATTAAAAAAAAATTAAATATTTTCAGTCAAGGGTCCTAGTAAAACCACACTCTTAGCCCAATATAAAAGAAAGAAAAAAATGAAAAAAGGAGAGAAGAAAACCTCTACCAGTAATATTGTATGATGCAAATAATCCCTCTGTCATCACACATTCTGTGTCCACATGTAGTGAGAAGGGGGAGAAGTAGGTTCATTAATCTCATGATTTCTAGGCAGTTAGTTGGCCAGTGGAAGAGGGAAAGGCATTCTTCCATTCAGTACATGATAGCCCAAGTCACCATTAATGAGCAAAAATATCTTATAAACAGATTAAAAACCCCTAAAATGTCTTTCCAAAGAATCTTTGCATTAATATTTAAATCCCTTTTGGGATACAATCTTTGACTTCATATTTAAACTATTACTTATGTTTTAGGTATCATTTTCCATTCATCACTTATAAAATAACCACCAAAATGCAGAAAGAATGCTAATGACTAATTGCTTAGAGAAAATCCATTTCATATAATATTAGAATACAATTCTATCTTCATATCTGTCATGGAAATTAACCTAACATTGGTAGATTAGTTCAGCTCAACAAAATATTTTCTGACAGCACACAGAAACAATGTTGTAAGTGAAATATATGACAAGACATTAAAGATCCCAGAAAAAGTTCCACTTTACATTCATCAGGAAGAAAATGAAGTTCCAAAGTAAAAACTGTCAATTACTGTCATTGCTTTGTTGCACTAAAAAAAAAAAAAATCACTTAAAGCACAAAGAATCTTAGAAAGTACTAATTTGATTAAAATTAAAACTACCTGCAGGTTTATCCCACTCAAACTAGCAATTTTTATAATTTAAATGAGTCCTTGTCCTATATTCACTGAGTACATGCATATGCATAAGAGTAATACAAACAAATGGACTTTATTTTCTATTCCTCTATTTTCTCTTCCTTTTAAAATTATTTCACCTTATTTTCAAACACCCATATCCTTGGGTATACCACTTACAAATGTGGATAACACGATGGCCCTCATGAAACATAGTCACACTCCACATGATGAATGGCTATTTACAAAATGACTTCTGTCATTTAAAGGAGAACATGTAATTGAGACTTTACAGTTTAAATAAAAAGCTACAACTCCAAAGACACTGACTAGCTATGAGCTCTGGAAGTCACCCACCTGGGGCAGCATGCGATTTTCTTCCTCCAGCTGTCTTACTCTTGCCTCCAGCTGCCTAACATAGGACAAGGTTGATTCTAAAATTAAAAAGAAAGAACTCAGATTATCCACACAGGTCTTGTTCAGTGCACTGTCAGGATATTTCTGGTTTGATTTATTTAAATTAGACTAAGTGACTACTTAGTCTGTTATTTAAAAAATTATTCCCCAGGAAAAATACAACAGAAGCCATGGAAACTATAAACAGTTTTGAACAATTGTATAGTGGTAAGAAGTATGAGAAGTTTCTAGGTGGTGAGACTGCCGGATTTGCACACCAACCAGCCCTTAGAACATTAAGCATCTTTTAAAAAGTTACTCCATCGTTTCCCGTTCTATGCATTTTGCATATTTCTGTAAAATGTGATCTGTAACCAAAACAAGGTCATAATAAAAATGCCAGATACTCAGTTCCCTTCATTTTCCCAGTAAATAATTTAAGACCAACATTTGTTCTTCTCAAAACTCTATAGATATTGAAAACAGGCATAACAGGACTAAATATTTTAATTTAGGCTAAATTTTAACTTTTATATTGGCCACATGTGGAATAAACCCAAATTTTCAGGTACAATCTGGGCAACTGAACTAAAATCGATAGTCTTCAATTCTTCACAATCTCAGATGGATGCTGAAAGTTCAGAATCAGCATCATACCCATTTTCTGTTCCATATTACAACCCCAAAGTTTATGGCTTCTTCTCAAAAGGATAACAGATGGAAGAAAGTAGAGCTTCAGTTTTTAGGAAGAATATTAACAGTAACTTTTCATAAAATGAAAATATTCAAGCATGTCATATAATTACATAGTTGCAAGTAATTCATTACCCAAGAACAAACCTTTTAGGTATAGGGCAAAGTATGCCATCACAAAAATCCCTGGAAAGCATGATTCCATAGTTAATACTCAAGTAGCAGAACCTTCTCAGTGATCATGTTCTTTGATCTCTGAATCACAAAAGGGGGGGTAGTGCATTTAAGAGGCAAGTGTTTGGAGCTTGGAGCACCTGATAATCTGAAGTTAGGCTAAATATTCCTGTATTTATGCCATGATCTTAAATTTATCATGGAAACCCCATTTTTATTTTTTGCTATGGGAATTGCTTGGATGAATTCAATTCCATGTGTGTGTGTGTTTTCAAAGCAATAAGCTAACATTTTACATAGTAAGTGCCAGCCTTTTATTCACAAATATCACCATTAAGCCCATCTCTGCTGTAGACACAGCATGCCTGTTTCACAATGATTTGCAGAAAGCCCCCATCATTAACATTAATATAAGGACACACTGACCTCACAGGGATAGAGAAGATTGGCCTTGAGTATTCTTTATGTAAGAAATGGAAGGTAAGGGAAACTGAAGACATTTGCTAGAGAAGTTTTTTTTTTTTTTTTTTTAAGCTTAATGAAATGTTAAAACTCTGCTTTATGGACTTTTCCAAAGGCAAAAAACAAGTATACAGCATAAATGAATAGCAAAATTATTGATTTCATGAGTCTGCTTTACTCTAGCAAATGAATAAGTGATTTGCAGATCATCAAGATGTGAATGTAGATTGCCTGATTTATACAGTTTTGCAAGCCCAGCTCTCTCCTCTAAAAAAAACAACTACTTGCTAAGGACCATCCAAATGAAAAATTGATCAGCAATATTCTATGTAAACCATGAAAAAAATAAATTTTCTCCTTTGTTCACAATTTATAGCTTATCTTAGTGCCCCTGTACTTCACTATCTCAAAATCTGTGACATTTAAAAGACTCTACGTAGCATGATTTGAATAATATTTTTTTCTTTTTTTATTTTTTTATTGGTTGTTCAAAACATTACAAAGCTCTTGACATATCATATTTCATACATTAGATTCAAGTTGGTTATGAACTCCCAATTTTACCCCATATACAGATTGCAGAATCACATCGGTTACACATCTATGTTTTTACATAATGCCATATTAGTGACTATTGTATTCTGCTACCTTTCCTATCCTCTACTATCCTCCCTCTCCTCCCTCCCATCTTCTCTCTCTACCCCATCTACTGTAATTCATTTCTCTCCTTGTTTATTTTCCCGTTCCCCTCACAACCTCTTATGTGTAATTTTGTATAACAATGAGGGTCTCCCTCCATTACCATGGAATTTCCCTTTTCTCTCC